CGGGAGAAGCCACTAGCATTGTATGCCTATTCCAACAGTTGCCAGGTGGGCGGAACCTCCAGAAGTGGGCTCTGGGAGAGGCAGCATCAGAGAGCACACAGGCCCTCTGCATAGTAACAGAATTTCAGTAATGGTGGCTTCTTAGGCTCTGTCCCTGCCCTCCTTCCCATAAGGCACTGAGGTCCCCTCCCACATCCTATCCAGATTACACACATATTACACACATATTACACACATGTTACACACATTCTCCTGGCACCACAACAACCATACCTGGCCCTCCATCCATGTTGTCTGTGTTCCTGATCTAGTGCTCTGTGAACCAGGTCTCGGCCTGTGTGGCCAGGTCTCTGCAACGTTCCCAGTTTCTGGGTTTCCTCAAGACTCAAAAAACAAAAACAAAAACAAAAACCGTGGGATTTCCAGAGAGATTGCCATAGAGGCAAAGGTTGCCTGAGTGCCCAAGAGCTGTGCGTGACTGGGGAGGTTAGCTGTCGTCTGGGCAAGGCTGTATTGAGTGACTGATGCAAGCTGCCATGCCTCTTCCTGAGAACTTGGTGCAAGCGCTAAGCTGGTCTGTGGGGAGACGTGTGGCACTGAAGAGCTTCAAAGAACACTGGCACTAGGCTCCTGGAGACATGATCTCCATTCCGGGAGAAAGAATTGCCTCCTGAGCCCTTTATCTGTGTGCGTGGGTGCGTGCGTGCGCGCGTGTGTGTGTGTGTGTGTGTGTGTACATGCGATTTGCTTTGTTTTCTGAGGCAGACTCTCGTAAACGAGGCTGGTGTTGTGGTCCCTGTGTCACTGAGAATGACCTTGAACTCCTGGGATCAATCTCAGGCTGATAAGCCCAAACCTGACCTTTGTGACCCAAAATCGCCTCACATAAGCCCCTCACTTCTCTCCTGAAAAACTGTCACCATAAGACTCAGCAGCCACCTCATGTCTCTCCACTGGGACACCTCCATGACCACCTGGCATCTCACTGTGTCCCCACTCTGCCTGCCTCCAGCCTCCTGCTGTCTTCTAGGGATTATGTCTCAACACCCTGCGGGGGCCACATGCAGGTAGACACATGCAGAACATGTCCACAGCATAGAAGTCTGTGAGTCTGTCTAGTCTCACCTTGGACCTCAGGCCCTTACTGAAACAAATTATAACCAGGTGCTTTACAGGTTCCTGTTTCTCTCCCAGGTGATTAAACAGGTCCTGGCCCGGACCAGCAGCGGGGGCTTCTGCGGGAACGATGGCTTCATGCATATGACCCTGTCCAGCCTTCCTTTTGGAGGAGTGGGTAGGTGGCAGCAGAGCTCTGCCCTCCTGGGCTGATCCTCGGCTGCATCCCCACCCTGCTGCTCGAGCACACTAACTGCAGAACACACAGCCCACTTTCAGGGCAGCAGACCCAACTGTGCCCATCTATCCTGCCTCCCGCCCCAGAGAAGTCTGTGATGGAACCTTCCCGGTCTCCTTACACTGGTGTGTGTGCGTGAGGAACCTGAGGCTGCCAGCCATTAAGCTCCTTGACATTCATCAAGAAACATTTGATGACCACTTGTCCTCAGCCACCCATCCCCCACAGAGCCATGGTTGTTTTCTCTCATCTAGAGGCTACATGTTTGCTCCTCGCCCCCTGTGAAGCAGGCCCTGAGCACCTCAGCTTCCAGGAGGCCTGGGGTGTGGAGATGCATGCCCCACAGGCATATGTGACCTTGGTAGCCACTTTGCCTCTGAGACAACTTCATTGTTGAAAGGGTATCCTGGTCCCTTCACCTGGTGAGTCTCAGGAGTGAACCGCGTGACAGATGGCTCTGGCCCCTGCTGGTCTGTCTAGAGGACCTGCTCCCTTCTCTGTCCCTCAGTTCTGTCTGCTATGGCAGCCACTCAGCTTGGGCCTAACATGTCACCACCTCTAAGGCTCTCTGAGTTGTTCCCAGGCTTGAGTCCTTTTGGCTCACCCACTGTTCATCTGGTAGACTCTACAATCCTCTGGCCTCATTCACTCCTGAAATCCCAGCTTCATTGCCCTGTTTCACACAGGCCATTTTCTGGGTCCTTGTCCTTTCCTACACACTGGGAACTCTGCATGTCTGAAGATTCACTTACTTTCGTCACCCTAGGAGGAGGGTGACACTGTCCCAGAAGAAGAGACTGAGACAAAGTCATTTACTCAAGGTGGCATAGCTGTTCAGGGCAAAGCTGGGATCCACCTCCATCCTGACCACCTGGCCTGGAGATATAATCCATTGGCTACTGTCTGCCTAAACTGCACCAGTGCCTGGTAAGCTGATGCCAGGGAGGCTCAGGGCTCAGTCTTTCACTCAAAATGCTCTGTAGCCCACTGAACCAATGGATTAACAGAGGCTCAGATAACACCCTGTCAGAGCCCAGGGCTGTGTGATACCTATCTCCTCAGCTGAAGGCTTCACCCTTTGTTCCGTGTTATCCACAGGATTGAGTGGGATGAGCAGGTACCATGGAAAGTTCTCCTTTGACACCTTTTCCAACCAGCGTGCCTGTCTGCTGAACAGTCCCAGGATGGAAAAACTTAATGACGTCTGTTACCCACCTTACAGTCTATGTAACCAGAAGTTGCTGAGCTGGGCCATGGGTTCCCAGAGCTGCATCCTCCTATAAGCATCACCTTGACCCCTCCCTGCTGCCCAGACCCTGACCTTCCTGAGATTTTCAGCTGCCCCCACATCCCCAGTGGTTCCCAAAAGGCCTGTGAACACCCCACTTCTGGAACTTTTTCTGAACAGACCTGAAGCCAGGCAGGACCTCCAGGTGGCTGGTCCAGTCCTTTCCTGAGCACAGCCCCCTCAGAAGCCTCCTGACCCTCTGCCTAGGCAGGTCTGCTGACAGAGAAGCCCCCTCCCCAAGGTTGGGCCGATCTGGTGACTGAGGAGGACTTTCTTTGTCAGAACATAGACAGGGTCCCAAAAGACAGAGCAGAGGCTCACAGCTCCATCCACATCTGAGGGTTGCTTTGTCCCATCTGAAGTGACATGATCTTGAGCCCGTATCAGATTAATTGGTGGAATCTGCCTGGAGTGTGTTCACTTGATCTGTTGCTTTGATCAAATGACCTAACATAGGCAAATTCAAGGGGGAAAGATTCTGTCAAAGCTCATGCTCAGAGGGTTCGTTCTACCGCAACTTCTGATGGAGTTAAGGATCCTGGCAAGAGGGTCATCCACACTAACTTTAGCAAGAGGGTGCTAACTTTAGTTTCAGGTGCCTTATAAGAGAGAAGCAGAGGGTAGGGGATAACTGGAGGGTAGAGTATTTGCCAAGCATGTAGGAAGCCAGGCAGGATGGCTGAAATAAAAATGTGTGTGTGGGTGATGTGTCTGAGACAAGGATTAGATGTGTCCCGAGACAAAGGTTATGTGAAGACAGGAGGAGACTAGAGTGGTGTGGCTACAAGCCAGGTGTTCTTGGCAGTCACCTGAAGTTGGAAGAAGCAAGAGGACTCTCCCTCACAGGCTATTAGGAATCAGGGCCTCGGCACATTTTATTTATATTTTCTTTTCTGAGACAGTGTCTCAGTATGTAGTCCTGACTGTCCCGGAATTCATGGCTATCTTCCTGCCTCAGCTGCACAAGGACTGGAACTACAGGTGTGAGCCACCATACTTAGCTCAACTGCGGATTTCTGTTCTCAGTGTTGTGAGAGAACACAGCTCTGTTGTGTCACCCGCTTGGGTCATTTGTCACAGCAGCTCCAGGGCAGGACAGAGCAAGGTAAAGAAGCTCCCTAATGACTTGATTTCACACTCTAACCATTGCGGTTGGGATCTGGGATATTTTATTCTCAGGCTGTGTGGGTTCCTCTCTGATTTAGTTTTCTTTAAAATGCAGTTCTACTGAGTTAGGATTCACCCAGACCGTAGCCTACACACCGTGTAGCTTCACAGCTGGGCATGGGAAGTCATTTCTGGGACCCACCTGCTGCTCTTAGGCAAGGCCACCCCTGAGACACCATCCTGTGTCCCCTGGCTCACACTGTGCTCCCTTCCTGGGCCCACATAGGGCATTTAGCTCTGAAACTAGCAAAGATTCAGGGGCCAGGGTTTGTAGTGTGCTGTGGCTCCCCATGGTCCAGCTCCAACCACAAGGAAAGGTGGTGGCAGACACCTGCTGGCCCAGAGACGCCCTCTCTGCAACCCGGGACTGGGGCAGTGCTGTCTGGGACAGGGGACAGGGTCTGGTCAGCAGTGAGAGACAGAGGCAGGGCCTGATCTCAGTCTCCTGCTTCCCAGACCCTAGGAGGCCCTCAGTGAATGTGCACAGGAACACTGGGAGCCGCCAGCGCGGCAGCCCCAGACACTGGCTTGTGCCAGAAGCTGCGATCCTGTCTTCTCAGTCCCAGGAGAGTCTCTCAATCATGATAGTAAGGGATTGGAGAGATGGCTCAGTGGTTACCGAGCTTCTCTTCTCAAGGACCTGGGTCTAGTTCCTAGCACACAGATGGCATCTCACACCATCTGTAACTCCAGTTCCAGGGCATCTGATGCCCTCTTCTGTCCTCTGCAGGCACCAGGAATGCAACATGGTACATATATATACATGCAGGCAAAACACCCATACATAGAAAATAAAATAAAAAATACATATATTTTTTAATTGTGACACTAGGCTTAGAGAGGGTAAGTAGCCTGCCTAGGATCGTGCAGTAAAGGAAGTAAAGACATGAGTGACATTCCTCCGTTGGAGCAATTCCCCTGCCTTCAGAGTCTCCTCTACAACTGACAGAGTCCCTTCCTCTGTCCTATGTGTGTCATTTGGTCCCAGGAGACTGGAAATAAAAGTGCTACAATTTCTCTTCTAGACAGGGGCACCCTGATTGTGCCTGTGTGTGAGGATGGAGATGATTTAGCCTGTGGTGGCTCCCTGGAGGAAGTGGTCTTGCTGTCAGGGACCTGGTGAGGTTTGTCCTCACCTCCCACCCCCATGACTTTTCTCCCCACCAGCTAACTTCCTGTCAGCCTCTCCAGAACACGCAGACCCACAGAGAAGCCTGCACAGCCTGCCATTCCGGTTTCCTATAGCTGTGCCCAGGAGGCAGTGCAGAGGGAGGCGCGGGATCTAGGAGGCACCTGCCCCACCCACCATCCTTTGGATTCCTACCTGCACTGCCAGGTAGGACACGGCAGTGTGGTCCCACTGTGGTGTCACCTAGAAGGATCAGCAGAGGCAAGCGAGGGCCTGCTTAAAAGAGGAGCCACACATTCGGAACCAGAATGTCTGCTACGGACCCAGGCTCAGAGCCCTCTCTGGGGTAGGTAGGGTCACTGGCACCGGTGTAAAAGGCCTTGGGTGGGGGAACAGTTACTGGTGCAAATGGCATGTGGATCATAGTTGAGGGACAGGGCCAAGAGCCAAGGCGTTGAGATAACCAAGGGGCCTGGGACAGCACAGTGACAACAGGACCAGGGCCTGAGGGCAGAGGCACAGCCTTCTGCTTTGTCCTAAACTTCACTGTGACAGATGGGAAGCAGTAGGACTGGGGACAAGCCAGTCCTGTCAGGAGGAACGCCATACTGCTGAAGGTGACAGTCATATGAGCATATGGAGACCTGGCAAGGGACACCAGAGCTGTTATTAGGGTGTCAGAAAGGAGGGGACTTCTTGGAGGGCAAGGTCAGAACTGAGGGTTCTCACTGTGTAGCCCTCACAATCCTGGAATTCAGTTTGTAGACCAGACTGGCCTCAAACTTTCAGAGACCCACTTACCTCTGCCTCTAAAGTGCTGGGGTTAGGACGTGTGCCACCACACCCAATCCAGCTTTAGGTTTAAATAGCCACATTAACAATGGGCACAGTGTGACACATGCCTGTAATCTCAACTCTCCAGGTGCTGATGTAGCAGGATCATGAATTCAAGGACATTCTAGAATGCATAGAGAGAGTTTCAGAAAGAAAGAAAGAAAGAAAGAAAGAAAGAAAGAAAGAAAGGAAGAAGGAAGGAAGGAGGGAAGGAAGGAAGGAGGGAAGGAAGGAGAGAAGGAAGGAAGGGAAGGAAGGAGGGAAGGAGGGAAGGAAGGAAGGAAGGAAGGGAGGAGGGAAGGAAGGAAGGAAGGAAGGGAGGAGGGAAGGAAGGAAGAAAGGAGGGAGGGAAGGAAGGAGGGAGGGAAGGGAGGAGGGAGGGAAGGGAGGAGGGAGGGAAGGAAGGAGGGAAGGAGGGAAGGAAGGAGGGAGGGAAGGAAGGAAGAAAGGAGGGAGGGAAGGAAGGAGGGAGGGAAGGGAGGAGGGAGGGAAGGGAGGAGGGAGGGAAGGGAGGAGGGAGGGAAGGAAGGAGGGAAGGAGGGACGGAAGGAGGGAGGGAAGGAAGGAAGAAAGGAGGGAGGGAAGGAAGGAAGAAAGGAGGGAGGGAAGGAAGGAGGGAGGGAAGGGAGGAGGGAGGGAAGGGAGGAGGGAGGGAGGGAAGGAAGGAAGGAAGGGAGGAGGGAGGGAAGGAAGGAGGGAAGGAAGGGAGGAGGGAAGGAAGGAGAGAAGGAAGGAAGGGAGGAGGGAGGGAGGGAAGGAAGGAAGGAAGGGAGGAGGGAAGGAGGGAAGGAGGGAAGGAAGGAAGGAGGGAGGGAAGGAAGGAGGGAAGGAAGGGAGGAGGGAGGGAAGGAAGGAAGGAGAGAAGGAAGGAAGGGAGGAGGGAGGGAGGGAAGGAAGGAAGGAAGGGAGGAGGGAAGGAAGGAAGGAAGGAAGGAAGGGAGGAGGGAAGGAAGGAAGGAGGGAAGGAAGGAAGGAGGGAGGGAAGGAAGGAGGGAGGGAAGGGAGGAGGGAGGGAAGGAAGGAGGGAAGGAAGGGAGGAGGGAAGGAAGGAGAGAAGGAAGGAAGGGAGGAGGGAAGGAAGGAAGAAAGGAGGGAGGGAAGGAAGGAAGGAGGGAAGAAAAGAAGGAAGGAGGGAGGGAAGGAAGGAAGGAGGGAGGGAAGGAAGGAAGGAGGGAAGGAAGGAAGGGAAGGAGGGAAGGAAGGAAGGAGGGAAGGAAGGAAGGAAGCAAGGAGGGAAGGAAGGAAGGAGGGAGGGAAGGAAGGAAAACAGTGGGCCTGGGGAAGGTAGAAGCCCGCCCAGTGTGCATGAAGCACTGTGCTGACCCCAGGACAGCATAAACTGCGCGGAGCCACACACGCACATAACCCAGCACTTGGGAGTAGAAGCAGAAGTATGATAATCAGGGGCTTCAGAGTATCCTTAGCTAGATATCAAATTTGAAGCTAGCTTGAGCTACATAAGATCCTGTCAGGGACTGGAATGATGGCTCAGTGGATAAGAGCACTGACTACTCTTCCAGGGTACCTGGGTTCAACTCCTAGCTCCCACATGGCAGCTCATAACTGTCTGTAACCCTAGTTCCAGAGGATCCAACATCCCCACACAGACACACAGATAGGCAAAACACTAATGCACATAAATTAGAAATAAATTATTAGCCGGGCGGTGGTGGTGCACACCTTTAATCCCAGCACTCAGGAGGCAGAGGCAGACCGATCTCTGTGAGTTCGAGATCAGCCTGGTCTACAAGAGCTAGTTCCAGGACAGCCTTTAAACCTAGCACTTGGAGGCCAGGGGTAGGAGGAGTTCTGTGAGTCTGAGGCCAGCCTAATCTATGTAGAGAGTGCCAGGCCAGCTAGAGCTATCCAGTAAGATCTTGTCTTAAAAAACAAACAAACAAAAAACCTGTTCACTGTAGCTCTGGAAATGTGACATTCTATTAGAAAAGCTAGAAACTACCCACAGGCATTGAGGAGATGATAAAAAGCATGTAATTAAAAGCTTAGTGTGAGCCGGGCGTTGGTGGCACACGCCTTTAATCCCAGCACTCGGGAGACAGAGGCAGGTGGATCTCTGTGAGTTCGAGGCCGGGCTGGACTAACAGCCTCCAAAACAATACAGAGAAACCCTGTCTCGTAAAACCAAAAAAAAAAAAAAAAAAAAAAGAAAGCTTAGTGTGGTGGCTGGTACACACATATCACCATCGTACTCAGAGGCAGGAGGATTGCTTCAAGCTCAATGTGACATAAAGAGTATCAGGCTGGCTAAGGCTGCATAAGACCCTGCCCCAAACCTGTCACAAACACAGTGACCCCACACACACCCTAGCACAATTCAGGTGGGCATATCAGTCTACTTACAGGGATCCCTCTCAGTCACACTATAACTAGAGCAGCCAAAGCAGTGACCCTCGGGTTCAGGGATAGATTCTGGCTCATTAAATAAAGGGGGATTGAGAAAA